ATGATCATTATAGAGCGATAATAATTGAACTCATTTTTGAGCTTCATTAAATACTAAACACTGTTCTGTGCACTTTAAGTTATCTCAAACTCACAACAGTTCTGTAACAGATGGTGTTGCTATATTTATCTTACAGAAGAGGAAACTGAGGCCTTGATAGCTTTGTTGCAAACTATTTAGGAGTGCAATTGGCTCGTACATTCATCTACTTTTCAATTTTATATGGTACCCTCAAATAGCAGTTTATGTGGAAGAAAGTAATTTTATACAGTTGAATATGTTTACCTTCCTTTTCAGGCAAAATCATCCACTGGCATTGCAGTAACAATATTTATAAATATTGGTATATGAACAAACATTTGAAATACCTTTTCTGTTTGTCACGAGACAGCACTTGAAGCACATTATTATTCTGTGGTTTGTTTCCTGCAAGGGAAATTTTCACTTTAAGATCCCCCCTATTTGTTCCTCCATTGAAGCTTCCCGAATTCTTTCCATGGCTTCTGATAACTCCATACCAGTATCAAGGTAGTCAATAAGAATCAGCAGTATGGCATGCTGTAATGGTAAATAGTGCAGATAGAATTTCAATTTTTAATTTCATATTCCCTTTCAATATAAAAGAGACACCAAATAAAATGATTTAAGGTAGTGATAACAACCAAATTTTGTTTCAGTATTTACTATGTTGTTGTTAGAAATAATCAAACAAATTATTCTCTGAATTTAATTCAATTCTTAATATATAATGCACTTAAATTGATCAAAGAACAAACTTACAAAACTGTGTTGCCTTTCAAAGCACTGAGTTAAAATGAGTATGTGCCCTTAGATAATTCTCTTGTTTTTTTAGGTGCAATATAGTTGATTCTGACTCATTGTTAATGTGGTTGTTAGGTGTCATCAAATTGGCTCTGACTTATAGTGAACCTACGTACAACAGAAGGAATCACCGCCCAGTCCTGTGCCATCCTCACAATTCTTGTTATGCTTGAGCCCATTGTTGCAGCCACTGTGTCAACTCATCGTGTTAAGGCTCTTCCCCTTTTTTTTACTGACCATCTATTTCACCAAACATGATATCCTTCTCTGGGCTCCAGTCCCTTTTGACAACACGACCAAAGTGAGTTCTGACTCATCGCGACTGTATACAACAGAATGAAACACTGGCCAATCCTGTACCATCCTCAGTATCACTGCTGTGATAGAGCCATTGTTGCAGCAACTCTGTCAATCTGTCTCATTGAGGTCTTCCTCTTTTTCACTGAACCTCTTACTTTACCAAGCATGATGTCATTCTCCAGGGACCGGTACCTCCTGACAAGATGACCAAAATATGACAGGTAGTCTTGCAATTCTCACTTCTAAGGAGCATTCCATCTGTACTTCTTCCAAGAAAGATTTGTTCATCCTTCTGTCAATCCATTATATATCTAATATTCTTCACCAACACAGTAATTCTAAGATATCAATTCTTCTTTGAACTTTCTTGTTCATTGTCCACCTTTCACATACATATGAGATGCCTGAAAATACCATCGCTTGGGTCAGGTACACCTTTGTCCTCAAAGTGGCATCTTTACTTTTTAATACTTTAAGGAAGTTTTTGTGGTACACTTGCCTAATGTAGTGCATCATTTGATTTCTCTAGAGTGCTGTTTCCATGTGCATTGATTGTGGATCCAAGTAAAGGAAGTCTTTGACAACTTTAGTCTGTTCTCCATTTATCATGATGTTGCTTATTGTTCCAGTTGTGAGGATTTTTCTTTTCTTTATGTTCAGGATAATCCATTCTGAAGGTCGTAGTCTTTGACTTTCATCAATAAGTGCTTCAAGTCCCCCTTCACTCTTAGCAAGAAAGGTGATGTCATCTGCAGATGTTGATGAGTCTTCCTCCAATTTTGATGCTATGTTCTTCTTCATCTAGTCTAGCTTCCCATATTATTTACTAAGCATACAGATTAATTAAGCATGCTGAACAGATTCAAACCTGATGCACATCTTTTCTGATACCAAACCACAGATAATTCTGAACACTGTTGATTTTGTAATGGAGTTTTTTTGTTACTCTTATTATTATTAAAATAGGATTGTAATGGAAGTGATATCACTTAATAGTAAATATATATTTATGACCTTTTTAAATAAATTTAAATTAATATCTTGTACTGGAAAAATAAAGAGTAATTCATGAGATGGTTGTTTTTGTAGAAGAAATATTTCAACTGGATATTTCCCATTTAGTCTAGATAATTTTTCTTTTTATCATATTTAAATTTATCAAAATAAAATCAAGTAAATGTATCAGGAAAAATGTTTTTTATTAAATGGTGACCTGATATTTTTCTTATGAAATATTTAGTTAAAGGCTGAAAAGGTACTGGAAAATACACAATGCTGCTGTGTACATATATATAAAATGGATTATTTTGTAATCATTTCATTATCTTAATATAAAAATATCTGGCAAGGATGCTATTCCTGGCATAATAATGATTATGTAAACTGATATTTGTTCATGTCAGATTTGTACCATGGGAGAGTCAAATGGATAGATTGTTCAGAAATGGATTCCTAACTACAATAAAAGAGGCATCATGGCAAAGGGGGGGGGGGAAGAGAACAGAAATTAGAATGATACATCCTTTCTCTACAGCATACTAAATTGTGCCTAAGGAGGAGTACTAGATTTCTTATCTTTAAACTGGGCATAAGAATACCTTTTTAACAAGAAGATGGTGAGAATTAGAAATAGTATATATGGAGCACCTGATACAGTGCTTCACATAATGGACATTTATTTTCCATGTAAGTTTATTTAAAAATTGTCTGGAATTAGACTGTATGTAAGTGATAATAATTGATTCCTTGGTGATACATAATTGATGATAATTATAATGCAATATTTGGGATGTAATATGATTAATTTATCTTCAATTTTGTTTTTTTTAATTAAGCATTTTGTCCTAATTCTCTGTAAGTATTGTATGTTTGATTGCTAGTCAAGGGGAGGGGGAGGAAAGGGCAGAATTTTCATTTCTCCAAATTATTTCTGTAATAAAAACAATAAAAATTTCTTATTATATGACAGTTGCAGAAGAATTTTAACCATTGAAGAAATACTGTCATTGCTTGTTTAAACTATACTTAATTATTGAGTGGGTCAATTTTTCAATTCCTTAATTATTTAACATTTCAGTAGCCTCTAACAGAATTCTGATAAAAAAAAAAGGAGAGGAAAGAAGTCAGTTTTGCTACTTACAAAAAATTGCATCCTTGACCAATATAAGACTTAAACTTCACACACACCCCCTATAAAATAGTACTTCTTGTGTACTTCTCTGTGTCTTCCTTTTCCTTAGTGTTATTGTATTGGTCGCTCACTTTGGTATATGTGGTTCTACTCTTCACACAATGAATGTTCTGAGGTTGACTGGTTTTGTAGTAACTCAGTCTAAATACATGATTTTTGAAGAGAATAAAATTGCATAAATTAGAATAGATGAAGCAAATTATATATAAGCAATATAATATATAAGTAGAAACATCTAATGTCAGCTATCCATCATTAATTTCAGAGATTCTAAAGCAGCGATGGACATTGAGATACCACATGACCCAGATTACTAATTTTAGCATATGTTGTTGTTGTTGTTGTATGCCGTCCAGTCGGCCCCGACTCATAGCGACCCCTCCTTGGGTTTCCGAGGCAGTATCACTACGGAAGTAGGATTGCCCAACCTTCCTTCCGAGGAGTGGCTGGTGGGTTTGAACCGCCAGCCTTCTGGTTAGCAGTCAAGAGCTTTAGCCACTGTGCTACCAGGGCATAGTGGCTAAGACACTTTCATAGTGGCTAAGACACTTGCCTGCTAACCAGAAGGCTGGCGGTTCAAACCCACCAGCCACTCCTCGGAAGGAAGGTTGGGCAATCCTACTTCCGTAGTGATACTGCCTCGGAAACCCAAGGAGGGGTCGCTATGAGTCGGGGCGACTCGACGGCACATAACAATTTTAGCATATACATGCCTAAAATATTAGCAAATGTTGATTTTGGCCTTAGAGATCGAAAATATGGAACCACCAAAACAGCTTCTTATCATTCAGCAAAGGAATATTTTTAACTTTTATTCATTTAGCAGGGTCTTGGGATAATTATAAAGAGCTCTGGTGGTGTAATGTCTAAGACATTTGATCGCTAACCAGAATGTTGGTAGTTCAAACGTACCAGCCGCTCCATGTAATTAAGATGGGAAAATCTACTTCCTTAAAGATTTACTGCCTTGAAAACCCATGTTGGAATTCACTCAATGGTAGTGGGTTTGTTTGGTTTGTATTTGGGATGACTAAATTCAGCCCTCCCACCTTCCACCACCAACTTTCACTGTTAAATATACAATGAAGTGTTCTTTATTTATGTAAATGGTAAATGTGAGTTGGAGTTGACTGAGGGTAACTGGTAAGACATAGATATTATATGACATATTTTACATTTTTTTTCCTTATTTCATTCTCACAGCAATCCTGTGAGCCCAGTCTTATTTTCTATGTTTTACAGAAAAGAAAAGTGATGTTTAGTTAAGTATTTTTTCTTACATGTACATAGTAGTTAAGTTTGGACTGAGTCATACATTGCATTTTGGATGCTTCTTTGGTCATGGGAAATAATTGCATGACTTCTCCATTTGTTTCCTTATAGATAGAAGTATGTTATGAGATTATTCTTGTCCATTTTTACTTTTGGTTTTATGTAGAATAAGTGTTAATTATGTTTTGAAATATAACCCTTCAAGAACAAAGAGTAATTGTGTCCTGTGTTTTTCATTGGGAAAAACTGTATGTTATCATAGCTATTAACTTATATCAAAATTTTTAACATTCTGTCATTCAGTCTACTCAGGTAAACAATCTAAAGCTTAGATAGCAATGCAAAATGAATTTCTCCCCTCAAACATGTGCTTTCACTATGCGTAATTTATCAAGAACTTTCTTTTTGCTCATAGGGATGACTTGTCAAGCTCGAACATCATACACTGAAGATGAAGTTCTATGGGGTCATCGTTTTTTTCCTGTAATTTCCTTAGAGGAAGGATTCTTTAAAGTTGATTACTCCCAATTCCATGCAACATTTGAAGTCCCTACCCCACCATACAGTGTGAAAGAACAGGAAGAAATGCTTCTCATGTCATCCCCTTTAATAGCACCAGCCATAACTAACAGCAAAGAAAGACATAATTCTGTGGAATGCTTAGATGCATTAGATGACATTAGCACAAAGCTTCCATCTAAGCTGCAGAAAATTACTGGAAGAGAAGACTTTCCAAAAAAACTCTTGAGAATGAGTTCTACAACTTCAGAAAAAGCCTACAGCTTGGGAGATTTGCCCATGAAACTTCAAAGAATAAGTTCAGTTCCTGGAAACTCAGAAGAAAAACTGGTATCTAAAACCACCAAGATGTTATCTGATCCCATGAGCCAGTCTGTGGCTGATTTGCCACCAAAGCTTCAAAAAATGGCTGGAGGAGCAGCTAGGATGGAAGGAAATCTTCCAGCCAAATTAAGAAAAATGAACTCTGATCGATTCACATAACAAAACACCCCCTTAGGCATTATTTAATGTTTGATTTAGTAATAGTCCAATATTTGGCTGATGAGGTAATCCTCCCTAAAGAATATGAAAGGGACATTCCCCAGCACCACCCAGTTCTATATGCATATTTGAGAACCCTTCCTTCCCAATTATTACTACTGTGCAAAGAGCAAAAGTGATGAAGGGAGGACATCGTAAGGAATTTCTTACTAATGGGCATGTATTATCACATCAAGCATGCAATAATGTGCAGATTTTGCATTTAGTTTTATGGCATGATTTATATATGGCATATTTATATTGTGTATTCTGGAAAAAAAAAAATATATATATATATATATTTAAATGGGGTAGTATTCTCCCCAGCATTTCTAACATATGTATTAAGCCAAAAGTGTGGATAGCTTTCAGGGCGATAAAATTATATATATCTATATATCCAGATATCTATATCTAGATATCTGGATATATAGATATGTATACATACATACACACACACAAACACATATATCTGATAAAATTGTGATGTTTTGTTCAAAGTTGTAGTTCTTGTGCATGTTTATTAAAGTACAAAGGCTACTGGCATTAATTAAATATTAATACCAAGTATCTTAGCCTTAAATTATTTGTCATTTTAGAATCTAATTTAATGTTTTCAGCTGTTTAAGGTACTGGGAGGTTTTCACTTGTATTTTATATGAAGGAATCTCAAAAATTTGTACTATTTATGGCCCTGCAAGAATATATAATAATTATATATTTAACTTGTAAATTTTAGAGGGTAGCTGTACACAGTATATCATTGAAATTTGTTATAATTTTTGGAAGTTGCTAGTCCTAGGAGGAAATAAACATTGATTAATATGATATTTGATCATTTCCTGAGCTAATTAAAACCTAGATATCTGTTCTGTATACAATCTAATACCAAAGTGAATTTTGAACAAATGCTGAATAATGATAATAGTCAGTAGCCAAGTTATATTGAATATAACAGAATCTGCATAGAAGTACACAACTAAGGGTCCCTGTGTCAAACTGAGCTGTTTGGAAATATTTTAAATGATTTTTATGGATATTTTTGTCATATTAAACATCAATAATTTATCCTTAAGAGTGGTGAGAATACATTGAAAACAGATGATAAATATTCATGCCTAAAATGTGTATGTCTAATTGAGTCTCCTTTTTTAAGCTGTTCTTTTGTTGATGACATTTGTTGTAACAGTGTTGATTTGTTTCCTTGCCTGGAGAACCTATTCCATGCCTGCCACTCAAAGTTCAGAAAGAATGTGTTGTACAGTGATGAAAGAATTTAATATTAGATGCATTGGAAATATCTACACATATGGTTTTTTTTTTTTTTTTTTTTGGTAAACACTGGTTTTATTGATAACTTAGATTCTTGTTTTACCCCAGTAAATTTAGCAGTCTTTTTTAACCCCATAGTCTGATATTCATTGCTTACTAGCAAGAATCATAACTACTGATCAGCAGAACACCTATAAAATAATGATTTAAAATGCAGAGATTTTTATTAAAATTTAGAAGAGCCCCCAGAATATCATAAGTTTTTCTATAAATCTTTGTGCATAGCAATAAAAGTCTTCCCAGAATTAATTACTTCTCACTGATGTGTAATCCTTAATGGCTGATTAAGGCTCACATTATTTCCCATTTTATAGCAGTCCTGTGATGATTTTCTTATTGGCAAATTATTACATCAATAGTTCTGTTATTGACTAGAATAATACCTTCTGTCTACCTCTATATCAAACAAATTCTGTAGGTGCATACATATACTGGGGCATTGTTACTGGCAAAATGATCAAACTTAAGCATCCACCCACTGTGAAGAGAACAAGTTGCCCTACTCCTTTGGCCTCTCCAACTTTCTTATTTTCTAGATGTAGGGAATGAAATACTGGAAGGGTGGTGGCATTGACAGAATACATTAGCAGTGGAAGAAACCACAAAGATCATTTAGTCCAACCACTATTTACTCCAAAACTAAATAGAGTCATAATTTAATTTAGAGGGTCATTTTTAATTTGCTTTTGATATCAGGGAGAATATGGAACAACAAAATAAAACAACTTTCCAAATGCATTCATTCATTCAACACAATTTACCACCTCGGAAACCCAAGGAGGGGTCTCTATGAGTTGGATCCGACTCCACGGCAGTGAGTTTGGTTTGGTTTATATCTTAAAAACAAACCCACTGCCATCAAGACTATTTGAACATAGCACCCCCCATTGGGTTACTGAGGTGGTAAATCTTTATGGAAGTAGATTGCCCAATCTTTCTTCCAAGGAGTGGCTGGTGGAAACCCACCAGCCTTCTGGTTAGCAGTCAAATGCCTTAGGCACTATGCCACCAGAGCTACCAGAGCTAGGTGTGCTTTATTTTCTAGGGATCTGGGAGTAATTAAAACAGTAAAGGTCATCATGTCACCTTCAATCCAGTAAAAGAGCTGGGGGGAAGGCATTGAAGGCATCAACTTAAGTCAAGTAGGATAATAAAAAAAAATAAGATAATTTCAGATAGTCAAAATATCAATTAAGAGAATGAAAATAGGTTAACAGAATGGAACAAGACCGGGGGAACTGAGAAGTAATTATTTTAGATGTGATGACTTAGCCGGGCGGAGGTGATATTTTAATAGAATGATAAGAATGAATGATAAGAAATGAATGATAAGAAAGAAATGGGTATTGTCAAAATTAATTTATCTGAGTCATTTCTCTTCCTCTATCTTTTCTAGATATGTGTGGGAAAGGTGTATTTCTGATTGTAATTACAGTTTGACCCATATTGCTAGGTTTATGACAGATTTTCATGAAGAGTTTGAGTTCTGGTTTGCAGCCAGTGTCCCAGTGTTATAATGAATAGCTGTCCCTTTCACTCTCAAAATATCCTGGTTTGGATGATATATTATATGGTCACCCTACTTTTTTGTTGAAACTAAAAATTATGAAGTATATTTGGACAAAAATAAAGAATTGTGTTTTCTTCTCCTTCTTGCCGATTTTTTTTTTTTCTTTTCTTTTTAAACTCAGATCATTCCAAGCAAAATTATCTGAATTTCATATATCTTATCTTGGAGGATTTCTTATCAAATTGATCTCGTGTAATATTTATTCAGTCTGTACATGATGTTTTCTCAGTAGTGAAATGCTATGCATTATATTGATTGAATAAAAATAAACTCTTATTTCCATTTCAGAAAGTTGTGAGAACTTAAATTGAAGAGAATCAAAATCAACTTAAGCCAAGATAATTTACTATCCACTGATACAGTGGTATTGGAAAGGAAAATACAGTGTGAACACTGAACTGAACAGTTCTGCTTAACAACTGGAAACTTGTTCCTTTTTGTAGAGCTTTCATGGTATAGCTTCTATCATGGTAAAATGCTCCATTCTATTTATCAAGATGATGTAAGTAAAGAAAACAAAATTACTATGATAATGCTTACTTCAGTTTGAATATTCATCCTTCTCAGCAATATGTGAAAACATAGTTGTAAATATGTACCAAATAAAAAATAAGGCTATTTTACCATTAACTTATCTGAAAAAATTATTTATATGTTCTTTTGGTTTTAAATGGTTCTTATATGGTTTTAAATACTGCAAAAAGCTTTTCAGTTGTCTCATTGCTTAAATTATTCTAAAGGTCTTAGAGAGACATTTTATATGGTCAGGGTGGGGTCGTATGCATTATTTCTATTTGGGGAAAATTTAGGACTTGGGCAAGCTAGTTCACATTCTGTTTGTATTCTAACAATTTCTTTCACCCTATACTAGGAGCTCTGGTGGTGTAGTGCCTAAGGCATTTGACTGCTAGCCAGAAAGCTGGTGATTCAAACCCACCAGCCACTCCTCAGAAAAAAGATTGGGCAATCTATTTCCATAGTGATAATGCCTTGGAGGGAGCTCTAATAGCGTAGTGCCTAAGGCACTTGACTGCTAACCAGAAGGCTGGCGGTTCAAACCCACCACCCACTCCTTGGAAGGCAGATGGGGTAATCTACTTCAGTAGTGATACTGCCTCAGAAACCCAAGGAGGGGTCACTATGAGTTGGGTCCAACTCGACAGAACATAATAACAACAACAACACTGCCTCGGAAACCCAAGGAGGGGTTGCCATGAGTCAGATTGGACCCAACGGCAGTGAGTGTTTTGTTATACTAGGAAGGGGATCCGGTTTGACAACACAGCAGGTCTGTGAACTCTACTTCAACATTTAAACTTTGAATTACATTGTACCAATTCAAATTGTCATCAAACTAACTGCTTTTTCTGGCATGAAATCTGTAATTATTTAAATTTACAAAGTCATTTAGGTTACAAAAATATAAGCTCATGTATTCAATACTGCAAATTCAGTTTTATCAAAACTATATTAACTTTCAAAACATGATTGGGTTTAACTTTTACATTGTACTCGTCATCCTTCCACATCCCAACCAGCAGTTAATTATTCATATTCATTGGTTGAGTTTTTTTAATCATAACAATCTTAACTCCTGAATGATAGCGATTCAATCCATTCAAGTCACTCCCTGAAGGTTACTATATTCTTGTCTCCTTCCTGAGGAAACGTTTCAGCAATTTGGAACCAGTATTTGATAATGTAAGACATATTCCTTGGCAGAAGCTTTTTGACCATCACACCCTGTGCAGAACCAGTCTTTTCAAGAGCTACAGTAAGTAAAGAATACAAATACATAGTTTTTCTATTTTTCTTTAAATATTGAATCATCTTTGAATAAAATGTCCAATTACTTCTCCTGAAATTATTTCACAGAAGAAATGTGTTCTTATTCTTGGATCAGATGAGTTGTATAATAAGTAAAATACCCAACAGCCAGAAATGTCACAGAACTAATTCAAAAAGCAAAATTCCTACAGCTTCTGTTGTATCAGGGCCTGAAGAAGGTCAGTATTGTGCTGCTTTGTGCCATCTAATTGATTGTGACTCACAGCAACCCTATCGGACAGAGAAGAATTGCTGCCTAGGGTTTCCTAGACTATAATATTTTGTGGAGCAGATCACCAGGTCTCTTCTCCTGTTAGGTGATTGGTGGGTTCAGACCAACAGCCCAGCAATTAACCATTGCACCATTGGGGGTCCTCAGCATCATTTAGTTCCCCCCCTTTTTTTTTTTAATCCTAAATTTTGAATTTATTTACCTTCAAAGTTACCTTGAAATCATGGGTGTCTCAGAAAATAATGGCCTCATATGATCAATCCAGTGCTACAGAACACAAATATGGCAGACCTCATATCATCATATTTAAGAATGACAGCAATAACTCGTTTATCCTTTTCCAGCTCTGCTCTTACCAATTACTTGCATAGTAATTTGCATTTTTACACTTGAAGAAACTGATTCTCAAAGAAGCTGTTCAATGGGCTTTTAAATTAAAATGAATTTGCAAATATAAGGAGTAGTGTCTTGTCCTCTGAGAGTATAAAGTCTATGGAGAATCCTTTTTTAGCAACCACATATCCTGAAAAATTTGCATGCATGAGCATAGATATTCAATAATGTTCAGTGATTTCAAACCTGCAGGATACCTTGTGAAAATGTGTTTGTATTTTCCCTGTTGTGATTTGGTGGAAGATGATAACAGTGTAAGGTGCAGATATGGTCAGGTTTGTGTGTTGGTTAAAGAAAAATGAAAGTAAGTAGAAGAGAGAAGGAAAAAATACAACATAATATAAAGGAAGAGGGAAATTTTATGTGGAAGACAGAAAAATTCATGGACAAAAAAGGTAACAGAAAAGCTAAACTGAAAATATAGGTCTCCAATATATATCTGTAAAAGTGAATTAGAAAATATTACAAATAAGCAGAAATCTGTCTCATACCTTGGGACCACATATATATATTAATATATTTACTATATATTACTGTACATGCTGTATAATATTTCATGTATTTTAAAGAAATAAATTGTAGTAGATATAACTAAATTAGCCACTTCTTCACATCCAAACTTTCCTTTCCCTTTCATGAGGAATTATCACCATCTGGAAATTTATAAGCATACACACTCATACATACAAATGTGTATGTACACATATATTTATGTAAACAAATACATAATAATCTAATGATTTTTCAGGTTTTTTTCTGAATTCTCTTGAA